GTCATTGTACTACCCCGCCCAGGCAAAGAACCGGTGTACAAATACACTGCATTTTTACATTTAAAAGTGTACCCAGGGTGTCCCAATAGATAGTAAAAGAAGTAAAAGATCCATTTCCACGTGCTCAGGCGTACTGAGCATATATGGCTAGACTTATAATTTATAGACCAATTGGCAATTAGTGGGTAATGTAGTCAACATCATGCTGGCTGCCTCTACTTCCCAGGATTTTTTTATGAGAACCGGCAATTCTGAGATGATTCCATAAAGTAATTTAATACCATGTATAAAATGCGTCTGATATTTGGGGAAATGTGGTTTTTACAAAAATGGTTTTCATACAAAAAATGTTCTATTTTTCTAACCTGTGGAAACTTATGGGACATAATGTACTACCACAAGAAAGGGAAAACTGGGCTGTGTATGTTTTACAACGAGCTGCAGAATTAGTCCCAGCATGTGCTGGCTGTTTAGTTTTAATAAGCACATTTCTGTTCAGGAGTTTGCCATTGCTTACTGACGGATCAGCTTTCGATACTATTGTCAAAATCAATGCAAAACGGTCTCCTGCCAAAATGCCCAATGCTGGAATCTAACCAGGTTTTTTTTTTAAAAAGTTAGTTGCGTATCCTTCACAGCAGAACCAACCCCAGCATCTTTTGGCTTTAATGATTTTTCAAAGCAAATTTTACATTTAGCAGTTTGCCACTGCTTACCGAAAAGTCGGCTATCAATACCACTGAAAAAAATTAAAGCAAGGCGAAATATTGCCTCAGCTGGGATCGAACCCAACACCCCAGTATTACGAAGCAAGTTCGCAACGCCTAAGTCGCAGATGACGAAATCTAAGCAGATACCTTCATTAGGTAGGCTCACTATGCCTAAGCCACAAACAAATGAATCCACACAGGTATCTGTCACCTCTGAGATGCTACCTTAAGGATTAACACACCATCCTGAGATTAAAACATCTCAACCTGGATGGCAGACCAACAATGTACATCTGAAATACCCTGTTTAACAACAACAACAAAAAGGCAAATGTAATGGTTAGGCCAGCCAGGTGTAAGCTGCATGCAGCCTTGCGTGGGTAGGGAAAACATCAAGTCAATGGTTCAGTCATTGAAACAAAGACAGACCAAAAACACTGGAGAAGGGACCTAGAGAGTGAAGTTAAACAGATGAGAAGGACATAAGAAGGACGTTATCAGTGCCAAACATAAACAATGAATAGGGCACTCAAACAGAAAATAACTACATGTGAACTACGCTGTCTCCGCAAGGTCACTAACGACACAAGAGGGGACAGGGTTAAGAATACCAGCATTAGAGAGAAAGTTGCAATAAGACCATGTCTGAATCATGTTGACAAAGAATGAAATGGTTCAGCCAACTAGTGAGAATTCATTCAGACCAAATTGTACATAAGACTTTTTACAGTAGAATATCTGGAAGGAAGTCAAGAGGAAGACCAAGAGAGATTTCGATAAATGGTCTTGCAGAAACCTGCAAAAAAGATAAACAAGAAGTGCAAGACAAATACAGAAAACCATGACACTGGGCTACAACCTGGTATCAGTGAGATGACAGAACCATGACACTGGGCTACAACCTGGTATCACAATGAGACGACAGAACCATGACACTGGGCTACAACCTGGTATCAGTGAGAGGACAGAACCATGACACTGGGCTACACCTGGTATCAGTGAGACGACAGAACCACGACACTGGGCTACAACCTGGTATCACAATGAGACGACAGAACCACGACACTGGGCTACAACCTGGTATCACAATGAGACGACAGAACCATGACACTGGGCTACAACCTGGTATCAGTGAGAGGACAGAACCATGACACTGGGCTACAACCTGGTATCACAATGAGACGACAGAACTACGACACTGGGCTACAACCTGGTATCACAATGAGACGACAGAACCACGACACTGGGCTACAACCTGGTATCAGTGAGAGGACAGAACCACGACACTGAGCTACAACCTGGTATCACAATGAGACGACAGAACTACGACACTGGGCTACAACCTGGTATCACAATGAGACGACAGAACTACGACACTGGGCTACAACCTGGATCAGTGAGAGGACAGAACCTGACACTGGGCTACAACCTGGTATCAGTGAGACGACAGAACCACGACACTGGGCTACAACCTGGTATCAGTGAGAGGACAGAACCACGACACTAGGCTACAACCTGGTATCACAATGAGACGACAGAACCACTGGGCTACAACTGGTATCAGTGGCGACAGAACCACAACCTGGGGTATCAGTGAGACGACAGAACCACGACACTGGGCTACAACCTGGTATCAGTAAGACGACAAAACCACGACACTGGGCTACAACCTGGTATCAGTGAGATGACAAAGAAGAAGGCCATGGGGTGAGTTGTATGCAATAGCAAAGCACAGAAGGACTTGGTGTGAGTTGGTTGGGGGCCTATGCTCCACTGTGGGATAGAAGACAAAAAAAGAAGAGAAAAATGGTTCATCCACATAAAATGAATCTGCAAGGGCTCTATATTTAAAGCCACCCTCTTCTCCTCCACCACAATCAACATAAAAATGGAAATATAATCGCGACATCCATTTAAATTATGATCAAATTGTATCTTCTGCACAGATCTGGCAATTTGAATTTTGCATTTTAGTAAAAATGTGCAATCACATATTCACAAACAAGAGAATATTTCAAGCAACTAGTTTAAGTTGTGATGAAAGCTGGCGGCTTATCACTTTTAAATACTTGCTGTAGCAATTTAAGTTCTGTCTGATGTTAATATGAGCTTGGCAATACCAATTCAGGAATACATTACTCATACAATATATCAATCAGTTGCCTTCTTCACAGTGATGGTTGGTCACAGTGGATCTCCCAACACTCTCTGGAAAGATGCAAGAGTGCCAACTGACTAACAATGTAACACTGTTGGAACTCCAGTACAAATTGCTTATGTGGGTTCCGGGACCCTGTTGTAGGGAAAACAAGAGCTAATCCACTTCCTCACAAACAAGCATCTCGTAAGAGTAAAATAATTAGGGCTTTCTTCAAAGTCGGAGTAGAAGGGGCTGTGTGGTCTCGAGGCATGGTGTCCTCCTCGAGTACTAGAGGTTCTGGGTCCAATCCCCGGTAATTGCTGGGTTTTTTGTTTTTTTTTACATGGACTTGGACTTCTAGTAATTCTCCCTGGTCTCTGGATAGTGAGATTGGATGCTCGTGTGCATTATTGCGCTCGTTGTTTAAAAAATCTTTGGCAGTTGGAAATCAAAAAGACCTACCTAAAGTATTTCAGGATCCTCACTATAGCTACAGAGCCTGTGCACTGTGCTGAGCTTCTTCAGACTCAGACTTGAGTTAGAAGAAGAACGGAGCACTTATGGGTTACTACTCGTGTGCCGTGATGTTGATCGTTGTTCAAACCTTAAATTTCAAAGTCGGAGTGCCTCTGTTTTGTCTTCATACAAATAAAACAGACATGTAAAAGTGGATGTGTATGCAACACTCAGGTTCTAGAGCAAGACCTGAGTCAAGAAATGGATGAACAACCAGAACTTTCCGTCCGAGTTAACAGACGGTGAACACGAAGAATAAGATAACTAGCTGGAAGAATCCGCAGAATATTTGGAACACTGTTACACTATAACTATAGAGGTTAAATTATGCAGAATATTTGGAACATTGTTACACTATAACTATAGAGATTAAATTATGCAGAATATTTGGAACATTGTTACACTATAACTATAGAGGTTAAACTGCAGAATATTTGGAACATTGTTACACTATAACTACAGAATATTTGGACGCCACATTGTCATACTTTGGCTCCTAGGTCAACCCAGCCTTAAATGGGTACCAGGTAAAGTCATGGAAAGTAAAGGCAGCCGGTGTGACGTTGACCACATTACCTACGAGTGCCGTCTGGTCTATAAAATATAGGTCTTGCCCTTGATGCCCAATATGTCTGAAGGCGTGGAAACTGGTCTTAGACTTTTACTTTGTCATGCTATAGAGGGAAAAATATACAGTTTGTTAGGACACTAACGAGCTACTACACAATAAATTAGCTACTACTTGAAGTAACTCAGGTCAGCAGGAATATTTAGTCTGTTATATATCGGGTTGAATGGTACTTGTTGAAAGCAATTTAATCAGTGTCTGATATTTCTCAAGTTCATTTTCTGTGGGGTCGACCTCTGGGCCTGTTACCATTGCATCACTGTATTGTATTACATAGCCAAACCATTTGATTTGTTGTCTGCCTATAAAGTTCAGTATTGGTTCTGTGCGGACTCTCCTCCTGATATCATCGTTCCTAAGTCCATCTTTCCTCCTTACACCTAGCACACGTAAACATTTCATTTCTGTGACTGTTTTCCTTGTCTTCTGACGACAGTACCCATGCTTGACACTGATCGCATAGCACTGGTAACAATATTGTGCTGAACAGTGTTTTTCTTTAAGTGTTCATTGTCACATACTTTCATTTCAAAATACGTTTTTACTGACCCTTTGAACTTTCCGATTGATCTTTAAAATATATGGCTGCCCGGCTCTCTAGCGTAGTTGCCTAAACCGGACTGCGCGGTGACCGGGTGAAGAACTCCTTGTGGTCGGGGTTCACGCCCGGGGGTTGGCAGAAAAGCTACATTTCTCCCAGATTTACGGTATTTATCATGGAATCAAGGCGGAAGGGTTGCGATATCTATAATACCGAGCCTAAGGGTTAACAACTCATGGCTTCTGGATACTAAACAAAAATATAGGGCTAGCCCTACATATCCAATTTGTCTGAATGCGTGGAAAAGTTTCCTTTACATAATTTTACTTTAAAACATTATTCGGCACAAACTTGAAACACCTGTTAAATGTAAATAAACATTTCGGAAAACTACAGACATGAAATCATGCAGTAATATATTTTGTTTACATTTACAATGACTTGAAATGTCCCCAAAGTACCTACCCAGATCCGGCATCGGTTCATCGTCATCATCGTCAACAGAATTCTTTGTACGTATATCCGAATCGTTCTGAAATTTCAGCGCACCGGCACCACTTTTGCCTGGTCCCTTTTTCTTCTCGTATAAAGCTTGAAAATATCGGGCAGCGAATTCTTCCAAATCCGGAGGGCGGTTTCTTAACGCGGCCACAGTAAACTCCTGTAAGAGCTCAGTCAATCCCGGCGGAATCTCGAAATTCATGATGGAAAGTAATCATTAACCGCACAACTGGCCTCTAAAACTGGGTAAAACAACACTGATACACTTTAATCCAAGACGAACATATCGACAGCAGCTTGTCGTACCGGTTGAAGGCAAAAAAAAATGACTCTGTTGTGGTAGAAGTTCTCCCTCTCTCTCACTCTGTCCTCTCTAGAAGGCGGTCTCCATTGCAGGGCTATCGAAGTTTGTACTTTTGTGATAAGGTTAGTGGCTGTTATGTGGTTTTTCTATGCAAATTTACGTCCAGTACTTTGCCATTGCTTTCTGGGCGATCGGCTTTCTTGATACCACTGTCGAAACCAACGCAAAGCGCATGGCCCGCAGCTGGGATCGAACCCAGCATCGCGGCATTATGAAGCGTTCGCATCGACTTAGCCACAGAGCCGTATACTTTTGTAATAAACGTACTATATTACCCATCCGACGTCCGTGGCTTAGGCGTTGCAAGTCCGACTCGTAATTCAACGTATCGCGATCGAAATCCACTGCTGGCTGCGTTGGTTTTTAGTTATGGTATGGCGCTTCGCAGGTCGACCTAGCCTAAAATGAGTACCTAAATATGTTATCACTTGTTAGTACAGTGTAGATGGGGGGGGGGGGGGTTGGCCTGAGGTTTTCGGTTGCCCGGCTAGGGCTGTCGCCACGGACTGTACAGGTTAGGATGTTTAATTTTGCCGAAAAAATACTCTATTCTTACCGGGAAAGGACCCGGCATTTTATTAAAACCGCTCGGCGAGCTGCAACCATTTAATGCTAAGTGAAAAAAACACCATAAACATTTTGGTATATTTTAGAAAGTGGTACAACTCATGAACTCAGACCCAAAGAGTGACTTCCCTTGCCATTCATCCGTTGGCGTGTCGTAGGAGCTGTTTAACGTTGCAAGGGTGTCACGCTTAGTGACGAATCACTATCGGCTAGCGATATATTCTGGTGAATATTCCACGATAATATGATATGATATACCTACGATTAACGTTTCCGATGTTTTCCCTTTATCTTCCCCAGAAGGACGTCACAGGACCAATATTTTCGAGGGTGGTAAGAGCAGGTTTCCCGGCTTTCTGTTGCCTTTAACTACCCCAAAAACATCTAGAACTGAGCCTAACCCCAACTTACCTACGTCCCGAGAAAGTACAGCTTAGGTCCCATGACTGCATGCAGCATAGGTCCTACGACTGCATGCAGCCTATCTATCACCCCCTAAAATATTCGACTGTCTGTTTGGGGGAGATACTGGTTTATAACCACGCTTCTAAATCATGTACAACTGGTTCTTACCAAAACCCCCTACGCCACACAACTACTTGCAGCCTATGACAACAACGCGTAAAATTCGTTGTGTTGTTGGATGTTTAGAAAGCGTGACACCCCCACAACATAGGACAGGTCCTTGGACACGGCCAGAGATGACTGGCAAGGGAAAGTCACTCTTTTTCTGTACCCCGAAGAGAAATGAGGAGATCAAAATCACTTTCATTAGTTTTAAACTTGATACTTAGACTTTCGGCATTTCCTCAATTTTCTGCAGCTGCAGACAAAGTTATTGCTCCAGGAAATTAATTGTACCAACTGAAAGCGACCACTGCAGCTTTGTAACTGAGCGAGAAAACATTTTAAAGAAACAGTGTAATGGACAAAAATTTTTCAATCTTATCAAATATAAGATAAGCTAGTTTATAAATATATATATATTTGTGTGTGTGTGTGTGTTCCCTATGTGGGCTACGGGGCCCATTGTAGGGAAAACAAGGATAGAACCACTGCGTCCCCAACAAGCATGTCTTAACAGTCGACTATTTGGGCGCTTCTTTTGAAATCGGAGTGCATCTCCCTGAGAGGCAAGAAACCAACAATTTGAGTTCAGTTAAGTAAGATTTGTTAAACGGATGTGCGCGCAACAATTGGGCTCTAGAACAAGACTAAAATCCAGAGGTAGACAGCCTGAACTTTCCGCCGGAGTTTACAGCTGGTGAACGCGAAGAAGAAGAAGAAGATATGTGTACGTGGGGGTAGGTGTATGTGTGTGTGTTTTTAAAAGACGAATTAACGAACTTTTTTTTTCAACTAAAAATTTTTAATGTGGTACCTTTTGACGTGTTTTGATATACTTTCAACAATAATTTTGCCACTATTCACTAACAAATTTCGGTAGCCCTGCTCCATTGTCCAAACATTCACGTCTGCCACACAGTCGACGTCACTAGACCGCCGTCTCACACACACAGATCCCGGCGCTGGCTGGTATCAAACCTTCCTCCCCTCGTCGTCTTTTTTTTTCAGCAAATATTTCCAAATCACATACACATATTTATCTTCAGCATAATATGATCTTTTATAATCACCAGAAATATGAATATATATCTATAAAAGATGTTAGAAATGGCGTAATGTAAATCACTGTTGTGTACATGGAGACCGGCGCTGGAAATGTAGTCCGCTCTGTTTGTGTCTGTTACAACAACCACAACACACTTGTTGAATCCCGGCTACAAACGTTGGGCCGACAAATTTCTTTTACAGCTTACAAACGTCCCATGTGGGTTCCGGGGCACCATTGTGGGGAAGGCAAGAATAGGCCTACTACCTCCTGAACAAGCAAGTCGACTAAATGATGATTTCCTTCAAAGTCGGTATGCATCTGCCTGAGAGGCAAGGAACCAACAATCTGCATACAGATAAGTCAGTTCTGTAAAACGAATGTCGAATGCTGAATTAAGAATCTTCATCACAGAACTCGGAACACTCCCATAAGTGCTCCGTCTCCATCTTCAGAGAAGAGTTCCAATTTCGATGGCACCAGTAACAATCTGATTGTAGATCCGTCCCATTCTTCCTCTGAGTGTTGAGAGTCGGCCGGGTTCCCTGTAACTCCTAGCAGCGCCATTCTCCTTAGACCGTAGTTACCTATCTGCACATCCGCACTGTTCATTCGTTCCCAAAGGGCCCTCACAATATCTGACTTGTCATACAGTTCACCATCAAGTGGTGTAGAACCGACCAGTCTATATGCCTGCTCATTTCCCAACACACCGGCATGAACTAGAGAAAAAATCCAAAGGATGCTAACTACCCGGGACCTCTGAAGTGATGCTTGTCACTCTGTCACTTTGTGAAACGAATGTGCCCGTAACGTTCAGGTTCTGAAACAAAACTAAACTGCAGAGGTGGATGAAGAACCAGAATCTCTAGCTGGATTACAGTTAAAAGGAATGACTTAACTGCATCGGGTTTTATCCCATATGGCTCGGTCTCTCTCCACAGAACGGCTAGCCGAATGTCTAGAGGCAGAACAAGAACTCCGTAACTCCAGTTATGATCTCCGGGGATCTCCGTAAAAATTGCACTCGTGAACTGAATGACAGTAGTTCTATAGGGGAATAATAAGTCTACTGGTGCCACCAGTTTAGCTCCAGTCAGCTCCATTTAGCACTTTTCAGCACCTTAGCCTAACCCTGGTCACTGGTCACCTGCAGTGATTGCAGTGACTCCTGCGTCCTTCAGACCCTGCTGCACTGGTCCCGTTCTTTAATGTGATATTTGTGCCTTGTATGTGGGTGCATGGAGGGCGCCCCTGTTATGTGCTGTGCCTCTCCGGCCATAACCTTCTCTCCAACATGACCTTCTCTGTTTAACAATGGCAAATAACCAATCTTCTTCTTCTTCTTCTTCTTCTTCTTCTTCTTCGATCCTTCTGTCAGAAAACTTATATCAGGAGGCCGGTAGCCTTTATAAAAGCTATCGTGCAATCCATATCCTATTGTGTACCATACAGTTTTGTCTTCATTGTGGTTGGAACAGGCCAGATTGCGTCTCTGTTGTCAGCATACAGTTGACAGTGTTGGAGCACATGCTCAGCATTTTCGGGTGCCACGCTGCAGGGACACGTCTCCGTATTTCCTACACCGAAAAATTGGAACATATGTTGACGAAATCTGTTGTGCCCTGTCCTTAGTCTGAAAATAATAGACTGTCCCTCTCTAGAGAGGCGATGAAGTGAGTCTTGGGGAGAAAATCTGGTGTGGGTATCCAGCCACCTTTCTTGGATACTAGATTGTATTAGTGTTTTCATCTCTTGGTGGGTTAAGTCGCTATTTGGTTGTACCATGTCACTGCCGCTTCTGGCCAATCTGTCCGCTATTTCATTGCCTTCCAAGCCACAGTGACCTGGAATCCACTGCAGTACAGATTGTTCTACTGAAGAGCCTAAGTAAATCAGCTGTTGCGTCAAGTCTACAAGCTGGTGAACGTATATTTTATACATATTTATTTATTGAAACAACAATTTAATCATTTTCATTATGTAAAGCATAAAATACGTAGGTATCAGCAACACTGGTTTTTATACTTACATATAATAAACAAATTATTGTTCGGTATACAGATATCATAGGTATCCGAGAGCAGCCTAATACATGAGTAAGTGAGATTCCCATTTTGTATATGTCATCATAATCTCGGAACTGAGTTGGAAGCTTAATATATAGAAGCGAGGTTATGTGTTTATTCCTGGAAAGAATGTTAAATGTGTTAGATTACTGTAGTTGTTCAGTTGAAGATGAATTCGCGACAGACCTGACAAGTCGGCGGACGATTCAGTGGTTCATAAAGAAATACCCAAGATGAAAATAGGAGATGTTTTAGAAACATCAGTGGCGCGGTGATTTCGGTCACAGGCATGATGGAAAGTTAAGTCTGATGTGATGTGTATAAGGAGATATTCCGTACCCCACTTGGGCGCCAGTCCTTCACTGTTCTGGTTCTACGGAACCTCGTGCAAGACTCCTGCTGCAAGTCCCCGTCGTGCGCCACGGATAATGTCTCAAATGAGCATTAACAGAGTTGGCAGGGGATCTTGGAGCTGGCGGCCCCTAGAGGTGTAGTGTCCTTTCTGGCTCTCATCAGCCCGCCCCAAACGCATGGGTGAAAAAGTCCATCAAAACTCATTCTGAACACGAGTAAGGATTGCTTGCCAAATG